AGCGAAAGTATTTTTTTTAACTTTTACAAAAACTTTGTTGAGAATTTCATACATGCATATAAGGTGTTTTGATCAATTAGCTTAGCAGTTAAGAACACTGGTTATTCTTGCACCCAGCACCCACATGGCAGGTAACAACTGTCTGTAACTCCAGTCCCAGGGGATCCAACAGCCTCTTCTGACCTCCACTGGCATTGCTGGACATGGGTGCACTTACGTACATGCAGGCCATACACGCATACACATAGAATAAAATAAAAAAAGAAATATTTTAAGGGAAAGGCAGTTTTACTAGATATAGATTCTAAGATATCTTTCAACTGAAATGTTCTGTGTAATTTCAGTCTTTTCAAATATAAGAAAGTTCAAATAAAGCAGGAATTTAATTTAAAAAAATAGAGAAGTGAAGTTTTTCATGATGAGTTAAAACTGAACATAGCTTGGATGAGCCCTCCTTTCTGTGATTGTTTTGACCCAATGACAAAAATTGAGAAGTAAATTTTATTCATAAAATATAAGATTTGGGCTGGAGAGATGGCTCAGCAGCCAAGAACACTGGTTGTCCTTGCAGAAGACCAGGGTTCGAATCCCAGCACCCACATGGCAGCTAACAACTGTCTGTAACTCCAGTTCCAGGGAATCCGACAGCCTCTTCTGTCCTCAGGGGCATTGCATGACACAGGTGCACTCACATACATGCAGTCAACACACTCAAACACATAAAATAAAAATAATAAAATATTTAAAATATATATAAGCAGATTTGTTAATGAGTTCTTGATTGTATATGGTTAAGTTTGTCTTCTGACTCCTCTTTCCAAATCTACTATTCAATCTTACCTGTACATTTTCCTACTGATGGTGATTTAAAACTTTAAGAACAGAGACAATAGCTTTGCTGTTTTTAAAACTTTGTGGGTTTTTTGTTTGCTTGTTTTTCTGGTGTACTTGTATAATATGCCTGTCTGCATTTGATCGATTGTGTGTTGAACGTGTGAAGTTTCACGCTGACAGTTTGAACTCCTTGATTACTTAGCATTTCGGTGTATAGCAATACCGTGTGCCCTGTAGATTATTAGCAGTCATACAAGTCGGTCACTGCAAGCAAGGACGTATGATGGAAAGAAAGTTGACTTTGGATTTATACTCAGTTCAAAACAAATGTTAACACTAATTTAAGGACCACCTTACCCCAGTAACCCAGCATTTAAAAGTGTGAAATCATTATTTTTGGTGTTATCTTGAATCCATATGGAAATCCATAAGGATTTAAAGTTTTTTTTAAAAAAAGTATAATGCTTCCTATTTTCTTTTCCCATGTTTCTTCTATCATCATTGCAGTATTGAACAGTAAAATGATCTTTTTTTTTAAAGAGTAGAAGTGGTGTCCTGGGCTTGTTTTATAATGTTGTACAGTGTATTAGTGCCAGATAAATATTAGACATTTTGTTTGGGAATATGATTATGATATTGAAATCTATAAGGAATCAACTCTATTCATTCGGGGTTTTTTTTCATTTCTAGACAAAGTATCTTGTCACACAGTCCAGTTAAAGCTGAGTCATGTTTTACCTTTATAACTCAATTATGAGCCATCGAGAAATTGCATTCTAATATCGTTAACATCTTAGCTGCAACTATGCATGACGTCTCAATTAGAGACTACTAGACAGAAAGGGCTTTTATAAATGGGTTTCATTTTTACAAAGTATTGTCAAGCACTTAAGTAGACTTTAAGATGACATTGCAAAATTTCAGAATGTGTTCCATGCTCCATCAAAAAGTTCATGAAGCCAAGAGTGGTGGCACATTCCTTTAACCCTGGCCACTCAAGAGACAAAGGCAGGCAGATCTCTGAAATGGAGCCAGTCTGGTCTACTAGGGCTACAGGGAGACCCTGCCTCAAAAAAAAAAAAAAAAGAAGAGTTCACAATTATTAAGTTAAAAATTTTTGAAAATGTATACTTTTCCCCTTGTTACATTTTGTAAAGATTTGCTTAGCTTATAATTTTCTCAATTTGGAGTAATGTGTGGGAGTTTAAGGTGAGTACAATGTCAAAGCATGATAAGTTGAAAAAAGTCATCAGTATTAAAAACAGATAATTCTGCCTTGAAAATATTTTAAAATCTCTGTCTGCAGGCTCTTCCAGATCATTAGCACTAGTGTTCAGAGTTTGCACATCTTGCCATTGTAAGGGCATTGTGGCATTTGTGTCTTAGAAATAATTTGGTATGAACAGATTTTATTTTGTAAGAATAAATAATTTGAAATGAAAATTCACAGTGTTAAAACATCTAGGAGTTCAGTTTTAATGTTTCCTAATAAGTAATTTTACCTGCAAATTAATCTACCTAATATAACTTTTTGAAGTTAACATTATTTGACATTAATTTATAATCATCACAGCCTTCTTGGCTTCTTATCATCCGTTTAGTACTACAATTTTGGTGTCGTCTTTTTAAAGGATGTTAGTTGTGAACACGTATTTTTAAACTTAAAAAAAAAAACCCATTGTCAGTCTCTGTCTTTTAATTATAATGCTTAGTCCCTTAACATTTAATGTAATCATTGGAAGATCAAATTACAACTTACTATTTTACTAAGAGTGTTTGTCTTATCTAAACTTTCTCCCACGTTCTTCCTCTTCCTTGGAGTTGAGTACTTTTAGAATGTCATTTTAATTCCCCTATTGGTTATTTTAGATAATTTGTATTGTTTTATATGGTTATTTTAGGAATTACAGTACACAGCCTTAATGGCGCCATCTTTTTAAGGTAAAATTATCCTACTCATAATCTCAAGAAATGTAAAAATACTGATTGCATTTGTCCCCTCACCCTGTATGCTATAGTTGTCAGTGTATGATACCTGCAAACCTCAGAAGCTGTTGCAACTTTTTCATTGAATTTAACATTGAAGAGATTAAGGGGAAAAAAAAAACTGGTCTTAATTATTTACTTGCATGCTTACCACTGCATTTCATTTGTGAGATCCAATTTCTATCTAGTATCCCTATTCTTCAGCCTCAATAAGTTCTTTGAGCATTTCTTTTACTGCCCGTTGGCTGGTAGCAATACTACTTTCATTGTTAAAGGCTCTTTTCAGTGGATATGGAATTCTAGTTCATAGCTATAGAGACTTTAGATTTTGATAGGTTTTTCTTAAAAGGCTGGGGAGGCCCTGAAATCTCAGTACTCTCTTAACTGCCTCAGCTGGACTCTACACGTGTAGTGCTTAGGGATCTCCCAGAGAGCTGGGACAGGATTTACATAAATGATTTAGGGTCTCCTCTTTTGTAGCTCACCCCCTTTGCAGAACTAAATAGAGAGCCAAGGAATAGGTCCACACTATACATGGCTAATTGACTTTTCAACAAAGTTGCAAAGATGATTTGGTAGAGAAAGATAATCTTTTCCACAGATGATGCTGTAACATTCAGATATCCATATACCACCCCCAATAATATTGATTCATACCTCACTGCATTTATAAGTTTGGGTCTATGACCCAAATTTAAAATACTTAAATGTGAAATATATTTCTTTGTCTGGAAGGAAACACAGGAGATAAACTTTGTGATTGATCCATAAAAGAAAGTGATAAATTGGACCTTATCAAACCCAAAATATCTACTCTTTACAACTTTTTTAAGCATAAAAATGGAATCATTGACTGGAAGAAAATGATTGCCCGAAGCATACATGATAAAGTGCTTGTGTCCAGAATATGCAAAGAACTCTTCAAGTTCAGTTATAAGAAACCAGCCACCTATTATTAAATCAACAGATTTCACCAGATACTTGATTCAAGAAGATAAAGCCATGACAAATCAGTGCTTAAAAATGCTCATCTTCATTAGTCACCAGGGAAACACAAATTGAAACCACAATGAAATACCACATGCACATTAAATTGTCTAAAATGAAAAGAATCTACCAATGAAGGATCAGCGAGAATAAGAAATAGCTGGGATTCTGGTGCCCTGGCACTAGGAGTGGAAAATGGCCTGGCCATTTTAGAAAACAGGTTGTTGATTTCTTAAAAATTGAAACATATCACTGTCACATGATCTAGTCATCTCCCTCCTAGGTCTGTAGGCAGATAAATGAAAGCATGCATCCAGGTAAATACTTGTACAGTGATGTTTATATTATCTTTGTAATAGTAAAATATTGGAAACAACCCAGTCAGAAGGTCTCTGGAGTGTGTGCCACAGCCTTAGATCAAATGTGTTCCATGGCAGAACTTGGACCACCATCCTTCTGGCCTCTGATTTAGCCCCTAAACCAGAATCACGTTTGGGTTTTTTTGTTTTGGGTTTTTTGTTTGTTTCTTTGTTTGTTTTTGTTGTCTTTTTGAGACAGGGTCTCCCTGTAGCCCCAGCTGTCCTAGAACTCTCTATGTAGACCAGGCTGGCCTTGATCTCACAGAGATCCGCCTGCCTCTGCTGGGATTAAAGGCGTGCGCCACAACGCCTGGCTCATGTTTGGGTTTTTTGTTGTGTCCTTTTGTGATGATCGTGCGTCCTCTGTCCGTGTTTGTTCATTCTGGGATCCAGACTGAGGGAGTAATGAAACATTACCGTTGCTCTGTTGATTGAGCCGAAGGAACCTGAAATAGAGGCGCTAAGGAGGAGTTTCAAACCAGCCTGCTTCTTATTTTCATTAGCACTTGTTGACTTTCTTCTTGTTTTAGCATGTATTAAAATCTTTAAAGGAAATCAATAGCTATAATTTTCTTTAATCTGTAGTATAAAAAGTATGTAGCTTTTAACTTTTATTTAGTCTATCAATGCTTTTTTTCCAATATGATTGGAAACATATTCCTATGAGCTCTCAGATCCCTTGATCTGAGAGCCAGAGCAGATGTATTGGTAATGACCACACAGCAGTAGAACTGAACTGTGGATAGAAGAACCCTGAGGCCCTATCTTAATACTTTTGTGTAAACTGGAGAAAAAAAAAATCATTTAATTTACACATTTTTAAAAATTTGTCAGTCTCTTCAACAGGCTGCATATAAGAGGTGAGAGTCTCCTCCATTACCAGTGGCTGGAACACAATGGATCACGCGGGAGCCATAGACACAGAGGATGAGCTGGGGCCTCTAGCTCACCTTGCACCAAGTCCTCAAAGTGAGGCCGTGGCTCATGAATTCCAGGAACTCTCGCTGCAGTCCAGTCAGCACTTACCCCCTCTGAACGAAAGGAAGAATGGTGAGTTCTTCAATTGCACCTGGGATTTCTGGTCAAGTTACCCTCTTACTGGGCCTAGTTAATTACAGTTTGTGAGTGACTCTTTGTTAGTTACACTTGTCAGTCCTTAAAAAGGAGACTCTGTCAGAGGTACTGGATGGTTTTACTAGGAATAGAATTTCACTTCCCAGCCAGTTTCTTGCTTGTGTTCCCAGCAAGTGTCTTTGGTGGCAGTGCTACCTTTCGAGGTCAGCCTTAGATTCAGTCCATCTTGGGCCAGGAAGACCTCTTGCTGGAATGACACCATGAGGTTGCTGATGCCAGGGAAGCAGACAATGGTCATGACCTCATTCTCCCTTTCTCCATCTCCAGTAGGGCCTTAATTTCGGAAATGGCAGGAGTTAGCCTACCTCAACAGTCACTAAAAAAGCAAGAACTTCTTACTTGTTTTGATAATAATTGGATACAAGATGAGCCAGGTTCTATCTTGGACTAGTTCATTCTTGTATACAAAGTGAATGTTTTCTGATCATTCCTTACCAATGTGGCAAATAACCATTGATCAGACTATCCCAGAGCCTCCAGAAAACAATACAAATGAATAATATACATGATATACAAGTTCTAATTTGCTTTCTGTTGTGATAAACACCATGACCAAAAGCAACTTGGGGAAGAAAGGGCTTATTTGGCTTACAGGTTACAGTCCATCATCAAGGGAAGCCAAGGCAAGAACCTGGAGAATAGAAATGGAAATCATGAAGGAACACTGCTTACAGCTACCTTTCTTACACAGCCCAGGCCGACCTGCCCACAGGTGACACTGCCCATAGTGGGCTAGGCCCTCCTACAGCAATCAGCAGTCAAGAAAATACCCACAGACATAGCCACAGGCCAGTGTGATGGAGATAATTACTCAGTTCAGGACCTTATCCATTCTAGGCAAGTACTTATCACTGAACTGCACCCCCTGCTGCACTAGTCCTTAGGAAGGCACATGAAATAGTTAACCAGTTACTTTATCAATGTAGCTATATTTTATCAAACAGTGCAATCATTTATAGGATTACTCTTTCTACTCTCATAGTACTAAAACCATATCCAAATTCTGTGTGGCTTCCTGTGGTTAGTGTTTGTGTCAGCCCGTCTCCCCACACATCACCTGTCAAGCTATAATTCCAGGATGGGTCTTCATTTCTATCTCTTTTGTTTGAGTTCAAACAATTTTTAAAATGCATGCATGATTCAACACTGAAAATGTCATGTCTAAATCTTAAGTACCATTCCCAAAACAGTACAACTGGATTTCTTCAGTGGTTTCATATTCATAATCTTTTTGACATAATCATTTATGTTTGATTTCTTTTAGTTTGTAGCCATGGGGGGGTGAATTTATGTTTTAGAGTATATTCTTTTGTGTTCTGTTTTGTAGATAAAAGCACATAATTTAAGGTGTTCTGAGTCTACAATGAGACTATGAGTCCCAGAATTTTTACTAGTGTCCTTCCTGAGAAAAAATACTGTTTGACCCTTTTTTTGGAGACCAGTCTCATTATGTACCCCTGCCTATCCTGGAACTAGGTAGGCCAGGCTGGCCTTGAACTCACAGAGATCTATCTGTCTATCTGACTCTGCCTCCTAAGTACTGGAAATGCTGGAATTAAAGGTATATACCATCACATCTGGCATTATTGGACTGTCTTTTAAAATAGTTTTAAAAGAGTTTTTTGTAACAATGCAATACTTTAAGATTATAGCTTGAGAGTCATTAATGTATTGAAGGTTTTTCTTTTCTTTATTGCTGCAGTGTGTCTATAAACAGAAAGTGAGCTTTGAATGAAGTTGGTTTTTCAGCCAATGTGTTTTCCCCAAATACTTTTTTGTTCGATACTGTTAAGCCATGAAAGACAATCTCGTGATGAGATGCTGTGTAAGTACTCAAACAGGAGGTAATTCCCTTTTCTAATAAATGACATCAGGAAGCTTGAAGCCTTCCTTATATTCAGGCATATATTCTAACTACAGGCTCATAATATACCTAATTTATATGCCCATTCCAGGGTAGAAAAGCAGTCTTTGCATCCAAGCTATCAGAAGTCTAGCTTTTTAGGAAGATACTGGTCAAGGGATACAAAATGTAAGTTAGGAGAAATAAGTTGAAGTGATCTAGTGTGCAAGGTGATGACTCTAATTAATAACAGTATATTGTCTTCTTGGAAATGTCTAAGAGCAAATTCTAAGTGTCCTTACCACAAAAGCCTTGTGTGATACAAGGCCTATGTTAGGAGCTCCATTTAGCCATTCTAAGGAGTATGCCTATTTCAAAATGCCATTATACATTATAAATATATACTGTTCTTGTTAATTAAAATAAAAAGAAATCTAGGTTTTTGAGCAGAATTTATTTATATCAAGTAATACATATAGATGAAAAGACCCTCACTTCCTCACTCTAATGATTTTTAGTGTATGTTCATATTTTTAGATCTTCTTGCAATCATATTTAAATCATATCAAAATGTAGGTGTTGGCCTCAAGAGCACTACAAAGAATTGTTTAGATCCTGTGAAATCATCACATTTCCCTATTATTGTATTTTCTTCTTACTTCTAAGTGTTTCAGTGTTTCCTACTAGAACTTTGTTTTCTGTTGGAGAAAATTGAAGTATTTAAATTTGTGATTAGTGATTAGGATTGTGTCACTAAAGCTTATAATTCAGCTCTGAAAAGGGGATGGATTGACATTTAAGTATTCATTCCAGTATCTTCCCTCATATTTTTTTAGAAATATTTATGTTAGTGTGTTAGTGGATTGGCAGAATAGTCCCACTACTAAGTAAATATGGAAGATGTTCAGCACAGATAAGCTACACTTTTTCTTTACGTCTCAATGTGATTAAAATTATATTTACTGGAATGTCAAGTCAGGCAGTCATTTAAGCAGTTAGCTTTTCCCAGATGAGCCCCATAAAGGAAACTCAACATGTATGCACATAAGCAGTGTTTCTTTATGAAGACCTCAAGCTTCATTTTGACGTTTTGCACACCAATTAGATCCATCTTCTTACTTCCATATTAATGTTCCTGAAGTTGGTCAGTTAGTGTTCAAATAGGAAATGCTCAGGTGCTGTAAGCTGAATAAAAGCAGGGGAGGACAGTATAGGTGGATTACAGATCCCCACAGGAGCTGCAGCCCTTTGCCTGTGCCCACACTCTAGGAGAGCCCTACTCTGAGGATGCTCCTCCATGAGGTTATTTGCCAGACAGGTAACCAGAACAGCTCCAGCAGTGCTGGTGGCAAATAAAAGGCCGCAGTCATTGCTAGTGTTGCTGCAGAGAAACCAGTATGGATTTCCATTTAAAGAGCTGCTCAGCCTTTTGGGTGTATCTTGAGTCTAGGTGTTTCAATGTGAGGCTCAACCACCTTAATATAGTCACAGAAATTTCAAGTAACAGTGAAATGAGAAGTTAGCACCTGCTGACATCGTATACTGAAAGGCATTTGAAACTCCATTTACTATGAAATAGCAGGTTTGGGGTCTTAGTGAGGAGGAGAGATTTAGTCATTCTTTTTTAAAACTTTGGTATTACTAGGTATTATAGTTAAGAACTTGAGTTTATAATCCCATCTTGAAATGTTTTTTTAGATTGTTTTTCCTTCCATTAATCACAGTGAACAATTTAGACCCTCTTTTTCTCTGTTCTTGAATGACCCCTACTAGACAGAAATAGCATATTCAAAGGTTTGTTGGTAAGGGCCAGGAGTGGTACTGCACACCCTTAGTCCTAGCCCTGCCTCAGGAGGCAGAGGCAGGTGAACCTCTGTGAGATAAGACCAGCCTAGTCTACATAGTGAGTTATAGGCCAGCTGGGGCTACAAGTGACCCTGTCTCAAAACAAAAGCAAACAAAAAAGTTTGCTACCCACAAAGAAATACAAGGTATCTCTTGGCTTTGGTATTAATCTAACTACACACAGTCAGGTGAACTTTACCATACTGTGGCACTGAGCCAAGGGTGGCTACTCACATTGTACTTTAGAGAATGATGGCTTATGCTCTCAGCTGCTCTGTTCTTTGGGTTTTACTCAGAGAGCATTTTCCCACCCTTCATTAACCAGTTGGTATAGGTGTTTGGAAGTGCACAGAGGTAAAAAAAAAAAATTCATCTTGGGCAAACTCTGTTCCTTAGACTGCACATGAGCTGGTGCAGGAGAATGGAGTCATGGAGAGGTAGAAAGTGTCTGTTTCTCTACAGAGCCAACTATCACAAACGAGAAGGAAGTAGGTGCTGAGTAGCTGGGACAGAGCTCTGGATTCTTTCTTTCCGTGTCTGTAACTGGAAATAATGGAAATGAATAATTCTCTGCTAAATTCTGCCCCTTCCCTGCTCCCAGTGGCTGTGCTGTGTTGGTATTTTGTACACTGTGATTCTCGAGGACATTGATAAACATTCTGTCATTCTGTTCCATTTGGTTCTTTTCTTTCTTTCTTTCTTTCTTTTTTTCTGTTTTGAGGAATTAGGCTAAGAGAAATGTATATTTGTAAGTTTCCTTAGTCAAAGTTTTGGTTTTTTAAATTGGCCTTTGGGATTTAGACTACACACAATTATAGAGTTCAGAAGCAAACTGTAAACTGACAACTGCAAATGAAGTTCTTAATTAGTTGTGGCAGCTCATATATGATGTTGTTTGTGACAGTTTATCTCCTGAACCCTTCAACACGAGAAAGAAGCCTGACTAGCACCTTAAGGGCAGGAGAGGCACTTCTGTTTCATGATGACTTTATGAATTCTCCTATTAAATAACATGCCTTGTTTCACAATGTCAGTGCCTATCACCTGTCTGCCCTCTTTTTCTACTCTGGGTTTCTTACTTAGATAGTTTTGTTGTTACTAAGGATTTAGTTTGCTTCAGCATGTTCCTGAACACACCCATGAAGTGTCTGCCTTGAGGAGGACAGGCTGTGCGGGAATTGTCTTCCCGCCTTTTGAGCTGGCAGTGAGTCTGATCTGATGCAGCAGGGTCAGCTTTAGGGTTGCTGGGGCTTTGGGGACAGGTAAAGCTCATGATTTCAAAGAAGCCCCACTCACAGCACTCCTCAAACCTCATTTCAAGTCATTTTTCCAAACTTTTAAACTGTGTCTCTTACAGAAATACCCTTGGGGCATCAGCAATTATCCTATATTAAAAGGAAGACTTAGAGAATAATAGTAATTAGTGGCTTAAGCCACTATTGAAACCATACCATCCTAAACCTAAAGAAATGCCTACCTAAAAATTCATTAAGGCTTTTCTATTAACTACATTCAAGAAACAAAAGATATATTTCTTGTATAAATTGATATGATTTTCTTTTTTTTTTTTTTTTTGAGACAGGGTCTCCCTGTAGCCCCAGCTGGCCTGGAACTCTATGTAGACCAGGCTGGCCTGGAACTCACAGAGATCTGCCTGCGTCTGTCTCTCAAGTGCTAGGATTAAAGGTGTGCGCCACTACGCCCAGCAACATGATTTTCTTAAAATAGAATCCACTATATGTTATTATTAGACATTGGACCAGTGAATAACTAATTTATGAAGGAAAAAGTCTGCTGTCCCTCAAAAAGCAACTACAACATGTAGAATAGCATGTATTATAAAGACTAACTAAGAAATATTACCAATCTGTAAGTTCCTGGCTGCCTAGACCTGTCCAGGCTACTTGGACTTTATGATCACTCCCTGAGTCAGGCTCACATACTTAGTAAAATTAACTTGGGGCTCTTTTTTATGTCTGCTACCTAACCTCACCGCAGTGACCTATTGAATAAACATCAGATACCTGTACTCTACCTTACCTGTAAAAGAACTTATTTCTAAATAGAGGGTACTGGAAAAACATAACCCACAATTATTTTCACTCCTCTGTCATTTAGCTTACATTTTAAGATATCAATAATGTGGTACAGACAATAATGTTGTAACAGACAACAACAAGACAAACATGAGACTAACAAATGGATTAACATTTTCTCTTTGGTTTGTAGTTATTAATCACATAAACTAATGAGCAGTCATGCCCGATGTTTTTGTAACTCCTTTATCCCTTACTGTTGGCTCTCCTGCCTCACTACTGCCCTCACTGTTATTAACAGGAAGTGTAGTCTTTGGGGAGTCAGGACTCCAGCCTCCTCCGCTGGCTCAGTCTGTGAGCATGGGTAAGTCTGAGAAGCACTCTGTGTCACAGCACACCCACCATAGTATCTGTCTGGAGCTTCAGCCATTGTCCCTTCTGACTGCCGTTCCTCATCCCATCATCTACTGTTTCATTTTCACTTTTGTCTTGTGTTCTTCATTGGGCAGCAAAACCATAAATATGCTTCCATCTCAACCAACTGATGGAGTTTTCCATAGATCCAGATTAGTATGTTGTGGTATTATTAGACATACATGAGCCCTTTCAGACAGATACTCCTCCATTTTCAAAAAGAAAGAGAAATTGATTTGATGTCATCATTCTAGAAAATAATGCATCTACTTTAAACTGTGTGGCATTCTCTTGTGCTTCTCAAGGGCTGGAAGGTACGTATTAGCACTTAGCATTTTTATAGTAGCACCAGACTGTTTGTTTAAAAGGCACTATTTCAACTTTTTTTTAAAGCCCAAATGATCTGTGTTCTTTTCTTTTCATATGCATTGCTGATTTCATTGAGAAAGTGCTAATATCTGTATTCACCAATGTAAAATTTTGATATGTATTGAATAAGGATATAATAAATAAAGCAAAAAGTCCCATTCACCATTTGCCTTTGGTTCTCGTAGGCTAACTTTAAAAACTACCAAGTGTTAGGATGGTCAACACTGCAGTTTGGAGATTCATACCAACATACTAGAAAGCTCTCTTTGACAGAGCCATGATCTTGACATAACAATTAGGAAGATACTGACTGGGCTGCTTTATCAATTCCCCACTAAGTATTATATAAAAGAAAAGTTTGCCATATTAGACCACTAGCTCGCTCAGGATATTTAAAATTGGTATTTCTAGGAGAGAAATAAAAATATTTTTAATTTTTGTATTTTTTTATTTTTCTGTGTAGAGGCCAGAGTGGTTAAACTCTGGTCATCAGGCTTAGCAGCCAGAGCCTTTAATACCCACTTAGCCATCTTGCCAGACCCTGAAAGATATTTTTTAAAATATATTATTAACAAACATTGAGATGATTTTTGTGCCCCTTAGTCCAAAATAATTTCTAGATTTTCAGTATCTAGTGCAAAGTTGCCAATTCAGAATGCCCTGTAATCCTGTGAAACTGTTGGATACATAGATCTTTGAAAGCAAGTCCCCTGACTACAGAAAATTAATGTAGAGAAGATTCTTGCAGAACCTAGTTTTAAAGAAAGAGGGCTTATGTATTCAGCTTTGGTCAAGTCCATGCCACTGTGCTATCTAGATACACAGTGTCGGGCCACTAAAGCCCATACCTCATTTATGTGTGGGAATGTTAGCTGGGCCTCACAGGTTGTTGGAAGATGAAGGGATGTGGCCAACTCACACAGGGCATGTCTTAAGCTCTCAGCATTGCATGCTTGATGTACAAGAGCCACCAAGGAAGTAGCACACACAGTGGTTATACCACAAACTCTGAAGCCACCCAGTCTAGACCTTGCTGTGGATGACTAACTGTGCATTTTCCTCCCTCTGCCTCTTTTCCTCCCCTGCAAATTGGGCATCATACCTACTACCTGCTCCTATGGGTTGCTATGACAGTAAGTAGATTAATCTCTGCCAAGTGTTTCAAATAGCACAGAGCACACAGCACTTGGGTTGTTTGTTATTAGTGTGGATACTTTGAGAATGCAGTATCTTCGTTTATATGAAGTGAATATCGTAAGTTTTGCTCCCAGCTTCCAAAATTACTTCTTTCTTCCTGCCTCTCCATATACCTTCATAACATTAAAGAATGCTTTGTCTAATGAGCCCTGGGAGGGTAAAGGCGGTGGGCATGGGTTTCCCATGAAGTTGTCTGTTGTGGGTGCTGCCAGTTCCCACAATCCTAGCATTCCCTGGGCACCAGTCAGTGTCTACCAGGAAGGACTTTGAGATTGTGAAGCATGTGAAAAGACAAACAGGCCAATACTCAGAGCTCCCTAGGGACTCTGCCCTCATGAACAGACTCTGTGCTGACATTTTCACAGGCTGCTTGCAGGAATTCCAGTAGGGTCGGTCCACTTGGTAAACTCCTAAACAGACCCTCCATCACAGAGTGCTGATTTACAGCTTTTCTCCCTCCCACGTCCTTGTTCTGAAGAGATTAACACAGGAGATAAGATCGAAGAGACGCTGAAGGACTGAGATGTGTGTGATAAGTGCTAGACAGAGGACACTTGGTATTTTGGAATAATAAAGTAGCTATTTGTAGTATTTAAAGAGATTTCTTATTCTGAATCATCTTATAAAATTTTTTTCACTTTAATTCCAGAAAATCTCTGGCATAATCCCATTTCTCATTTTTTATTATTGCCCAAATCATTTAACAAAGGAATTAATTAGATCCAGAAATCACCTGTTACAAAATCAACATCGATGTTAAGAATGCATGTATGTGTCTGCCTGCTTGTTTCCCAGTGACCTTTGGGATGTGTAAATCCAGTGACTTAGAATGTTGCCCCGGAAGCTCTTGAGGTAATGGCAGCCATTTTACATGATGTTTTAAGGTCATCAAAGGCAGGGCTGTAAATTGTTTGTCAGTTCATCTGGGTCCCCTTAAGCTATTTTATTGTGTGCTATTATACTTTCTTATTTTAAAAAGTATACTGCTAAAAATAAATGAGAAGGGCAGAACCCGAGATTTGGAATCTGGACTACTTAAGGAAATAGGTAATTAGGATTTATTTGGTTTATAGTTGGCCTTAACTGCTACCAGCCTTGTGGCTGTCCCATCGGAAGTCTGAGTAGCATGTCTGAAATTCCAGAAGTGGACACTTCTTCCACTCTGGAGAGGCAAGTTATCACGAGAGTTTGTGTGGTTTGTTACCCTGTTCACATATTTCTTTTCAGTGGGTTAATCCTTAGGTGAATCTGCAAAATTCCAACTATTAAGTAAGACTCCTACACAATTGGAAATTTCTTAGAATTTCGTATCCATTTTTCTGTTGTAGGAATGTAATATGTTTTGAATGATTTTTAAGAACAGGAGCACAAACAAGTAAATGACTTATCTCAACTAAGCCTCAAAATTAGTGGTAGAAGTAGGTATCATATTAGGAACCCAGAATATTCTAGCTATCCGTAGTTCACAAAACAACAGCAGCAAACAGACCAACCAGCCACTAGCTAAGTATAGTGCTACACACCTTTAATGCCAGCACCTGAGTGGCAGAGGCAGGCAGATCTCTGTGAATTCGAGGACTGCCTGGTCTACTTTAAGAGGTTTGAGACCCTGTCTCAAAACAGCAACAATAATGAAAACTAAAGTGAAATAATAAATTGACCTCTAGAACTTCTTAAAAGTCCTGGAGAATTGTGTGGCTCTTGATTAGTGTTCAAAATATAAACGCAAAGGAAAATATTTGGAAGGGTGTTTTTCTCAAGCGAAAAATAACTGATATTTACCTAGACATTTTCTTAGTATGAAGAGGAATTACTCTTCTAATATATCTTCTGACATATGGATACATGCATGTTAGTTTCCCCTTTTCTTTCAGACATGAAAGTAGAGTGCCACCTGATCGCTAAAGGCTTTCCACAGTATGCGATGCTGACACCTTCAAATGTGTATGTGAAAATTTTTATTTGGATGTCCAAAGTTTATAATTTGGAGGATTTTTTTAAGATAAGAGATTTGACCTTATATCAATGAAATCAAGTTCAGACTAAAAAACTAAAATTTAAAGAATTCAAGAGCTGTGACTCTCAAGGCCAAGTGTTTTAAAAGACTACATTGATTTTTGTTTTCTTCAACTATTGAACTATCTAAATGCCTTTTCTCATCGAAGTGTATACATTCATAAGGCTGAATGGTTCCTGTACCCTTAGGAGTGGAGTGTTGTATTTATGCCACTCAGGCCCCCTCATTGATGGAAGGTTCCAGTCTACAGTCCCTACTGAGTTTCTTTCCACTGGTACCAAGTTCAGAAATACTCAAAACTACCCTTGTAGATTTATTTTTCTTTCAGTATAATTGGGGGTAGAGTATAGGTGTTCGTGGAGAAGCATTTCATTACAGCTTTAACATACTCATTAACAGTTTCCAGAGCAAAGATACATCTCTTTTAAAAGTGCCTATATCATTTTTAGGTATACAATATTGAACTCAGTATAAACCCTGTAAGTCATAAAATTGAATGAGTTTTTAACCTTTAAAAAAGATCTCCATTTCATTTTAAAATATACTGTTTCTTACGGAAAGACTCATTGTTTTTGCTCATAACAGTGAGATGTTGATGCATATGATCTGTATGTATTGATACTAGTCATAATCAGTTGCACTCGGATCCTTGGCAGCCAGAGCCTTTAATACCCACTTAGCCATCTTGCCAGACCCTGAAAGATATTTTTTAAAATATATTATTAACAAACATTGAGATGATTTTTGTGCCCCTTAGTCCAAAATAATTTCTAGATTTTCAGTATCTAGTGCAAAGTTGCCAATTCAGAATGCCCTGTAATCCTGTGAAACTGTTGGATACATAGATCTTTGAAAGCAAGTCCCCTGACTACAGAAAATTAATGTAGAGAAGATTCTTGCAGAACCTAGTTTTAAAGAAAGAGGGCTTATGTATTCAGCTTTGGTCAAGTCCATGCCACTGTGCTATCTAGATACACAGTGTCGGGCCACTAAAGCCCATACCTCATTTATGTGTGGGAATGTTAGCTGGGCCTCACAGGTTGTTGGAAGATGAAGGGATGTGGCCAACTCACACAGGGCATGTCTTAAGCTCTCAGCATTGCATGCTTGATGTACAAGAGCCACCAAGGAAGTAGCACACACAGTGGTTATACCACAAACTCTGAAGCCACCCAGTCTAGACCTTGCTGTGGATGACTAACTGTGCATTTTTTAAAGATTTATTTAAGAGTGTATGTATGTGTGTGTACACATGCATGTATACATGCTTATGTGCACACATGTGAGTATGGGTCCCCATGAAGGCCAGATGAAGGCATCAAATCCCCTGGAGCTGGAGTTACAGGTAGTTTTAAACTGCCAGATGT